GTGTGTGTGTGTGTGTGTGTGTGTTTGGGGTGGGGTTTGTTTAAGTATGATCGAAGCAAAGTGGGAGACTGTATCCTCCTTACACTAGCGCCTCGCCCCCAGTCCCGAAAACACATCTGTGCCACTTAACCAGTGTATCTTTGGAGGGTTTTTGTGTTTGTTTGTGGGTTGTTGTTTTTTTAGGGGGGGGGGGGTGTTTGCACAGCAGAAAATCTGATATGTTGATGGAATGTATGGCATCGGGCCGTTTTCCCTTCCCTCCGTCTCAGATGAAAACACCTGCGTGGGCACTTTGCTATCATTGTCAACAATCGCCTTACATGGAGATGGGAGTGTAGTGTCAGTGTCGCTCCTTTAGTGGGTCACCTCGGGTCACTGATTTTATCCTGCCCTGTGCGGTTATAAGACCGGACGAAGTGGTATTTAAATAGACGAGGATCAGGTCCATGGGGCGTGAATCGTGGGTATGATCCGTGGGCATGAGAGAGAGAGAGAGAGAGAGAGAGAGAGAGAGAGAGAGAGAGAGAGAGAGAGAGAGAGAGAGAGAGAGAGAGAGTCTCCTTTTTGTGTTTGTTATACTCCTATTACACCTCTAATCTTCGGTACTCATATGACCCTTTTATGTTGCAAGTGCTGTAAAACTAACTTGAACTGTCAGTCTATTTGTCTGTGTTTGCGCATGCGCGCGCGCGCGAGAGAGAGAGAGAGAGAGAGAGAGAGAGAGAGTATGTGCGTGCGCGTATTTGTGTCTGAATGTGTTTGCATTCATATGCACATGCCATCTGTTTGATTGTCCGCGTGTTACTACTCTACAACATTAGTGTGAGCTTCAGAGACGTTTATTTTATAAGTCTTGTCAGTTGTGCAGAAGTACGCCAAGACTATAATAATCGTGGGTGGTGTGACAGTTGCTTTGGTGTGGTCTGCACCTTCTTTCATATCAAACCTCTATCGTCCTTATCCTCCTCCTTTTTTGTGTTCACTACTCTCTTGTAACATCTCTAATCTCCGCCTCTAATAAGTATCTTATGTGACCTTATTATGTTGCAAGTGTCGTAAAATACTTTACAAAACATTAATCGAACTATAAGTCTTCTATCGCAAGTTTAGGGGGGGGGGGGGGGGGGGGGGGGGTCGATAGATTGACATAACCGGTTAAGTAGAACCTGTTACTGGAACTTGCGCTGACGAAGACAGACGGTGGTTGGTTGGCGGGTGCTGAGGTGTGGTCTGCTTCTTCTTTCCTATCAAACATCTATCGTCCTTATCTCCCCTTCTTTTTATGTTTGTTACTCTCTTGTAACACCTCTAATCTTCTGGCGCCCCTCTGACTATATGCAGTTGCGAGCGCCGTATAACCTCTACTAAAACTAAAAGAAGACAGACGTATTTTTACGTTTTGTTTTTGATGATTGATCATAGCTTGATGATTGATCATACTTGTCAAGTCTACAATGTTTCTCCTTCTCATGGTGGTGGAAGACCGCTTTCGCGAACAATTCAATTTCTCGAGATCGTTTTCAGGTGTCCATGTGGACAAAACAAAGACAATATTTCATGTAACCCTTTGTTCGCAAAATGTCACCTTGTTTTTTACTTGTCCCTATATGGTCATGTTTTGGTTGTGTTTTATTCTGCCTTAATCGCTATTTATTTTTATTTTGTTCAAAGGGTCGAAGAAGGCTGCCACGGGTGGATTCCACCTTGAACCTTTGTTTTTAAGTCTTGCTCTCCCTCCCCCCTCCCCCCTGTACTTACGTTGTTCAAATTAAGAAAGGTTTATCAATTGCGTATTATTCAGATTTTAGCAAACGATCTAGATTTAATTTCGCTTTTCATATTATTTCGTATGCGAAATTTGCACGCTCATGAAAAAGCAACCTCACACCGATATATAAATATACCGTAAGTGTATGAGTCATAGCATAGTTAGCTGGCTCACTACTCACGTTAGGATCATACAACTCCTCCTGGTGACCTGGCAGGACAAACATGGTGTATCGATCAGTGTACTGTGTGTCCTCCGCCCACCCCACTTCCATCGATCCCGTTGAACGTGTAGAGAGGACTGGCGGCTGCTGGTATGCGGCGACCTATACGGGCGTGAGGCCTATGCTTCGCAACGATTTGAATAGGGTATTATGCATCTTCCGTGGACTTGACAAACAAAGACGCTTTCGGTGTCTTCTGTGCTAATTTATATGATCACAAGCGATGAGACGTTGATTGCCCTGTCTGCGGGTGGTTGGCGGGCGCTACTGGTTAGGTCCTACTTCTTTTCTTTCCCTGTTGTGTTTTTGTTTATATGTTTTGCTTCTACCCTGCACTGTCTATGTCATGGCCGTTATTGTGTCGACGTGTTTTTGTTTACTCAAACTCAATACTCTGCCCCGTCATTGTTGATATCGTGTGAGTCGGCCGCTGTTCGGCGTCTGGCTCGCGTGAGGCACTCCACCCCGCTAACTTGGGTTTTCACGGCATCAAATGATGATGAGGAGACGGGGAGGGGAAACACACGGGTGTAGAAGGACGGGAGAGAGAGGTTATCACAGAGAAAATACGGTTCCAGCCCGGTCTGTTGCTTGCTGCGCCGCGCCCTGCCCAACTTACATAATCATGCAATGCACCCCCTCTCCTTATTTTCATTCTGAGGAGCAGCCGTTCCTCATCTTGCTTTTGTTTTTTTAAGACGTTTTTTTCTGTTGTTGGGATATTCCTACAGATCTTTCTCTTTCCCCTTGACCTTGTGTTATTTTCTTTTTTCTTCATGTCTTTTTTCACAGTACGTGTATGCCATTTCGTTTCTGTTTATATCCCTCTGTTTCTCTGTCTGCATGTCTTGCCTTTCAACTGCCCTCAATGACCGATGTTGTGTCGTTGATCTTCTCTGACCTCAAACAGATCAACAAACAAGCTATCACATGCAGAAGCACAACCGTACACGCACATGTGCGCACGGACACATGCACACACACAGACACAAGTCCTTAAGGATGTCCATGTGACACATGGAGGCGACACACTCACACACACACACACGCACGCACGCACGC